AACGCGGACCCAACCAGTCGTTCATGCTACGATCATGTTTTAATGGACTGATCACGCTTTTTACAGATTTTGTAGCTTGTATATGAATTTGATTTTATACATATTTTCACTTCATACACGGTGAATCTTTTGTGATTTATATTTTATAGTCACCTCAATAATTTCGTATTAGATAAATAACTTTATGACTTCTATTTTATAGACAGCAAATTTACTGAAATTTTGCTTTACAAACTTTAATAATTTTGCACTTTGTAAATAGTGAATTTGATGTTTCTTTCTATTTTACAAACTGTAACTTTACTGACACTGTATTTTATGAAGGGTGACTTTAATGAGGTGTCCACACTTCTTTTTAATTAAAATTGTGAAATACAATTTTTCGTTAATAATCTACAAAAACTTCATGTAAAACATAACCTAAAATTCATTTGTTTTATACGTTCACCAAAAGTTGTTTTGTCAACCTGTGTACTTTATGAAAACATTTTTACGCAAATGAAAAAAACAGTGATTGCAAACAATTTCGTAGATATTTTCGGAGATCGATTTAAATGCATCACCCTGTATATTAAACACGCTACGAAAATTGTTATTTAATCAAGCTTCTGCAGTCATGCATTTTCAAGTTTTTGTTTGAAGAATATGTATTATGCAAATTTCATTACACAGGTTTTTGTAATCTGTTTCGAAGATTACATCCTCACTTCAACGCACAGGAAATGCTGCACAAATTAAAATATTCACAAACTTTTTTTGTCTTTGTTATTCGAAACAGAAACCTTCGTTAAAAATAGTAGATACATAAAATAACGTTGGTGTAAAAAAAGTAGATTTCAAGTGCGTTTGGTGATTTGGTGAAGGAATCAATAAAACGGGAATTGCTGTCATCTGCCAACACGTCGGACGCGCGTACACGTTCCAGACTTTATAAAATGATTGTATGCGTGTTTGTAACTATGATATTTTGCAATTATTTCAATTGATCGATTCAATCAAAAACTTGTCTAAATTTGATGATTGAAGTGGAGTTGTGACGTTACGCACAGAATGGAAAATTCGAGGCAAAGTAATAACATAGATTCTTATAATTTCGTTTGTATTTAATAAAATTATATCCTGCAATTTTTTAACTATTAATTAAATGAAAAGTTGAAGAGTTTAATGACTATGGACGAATAGTCATGACACAATCTGAAAAAAAGAAAAATTTGAGGTTAAATCGTAGCAATATGGATTCCTCTAGAAATTCATCTGTAAATTGTGTCCATATTTAGTCAGAAGTTGTACCCAAAGTAGAGAAGGTGTATAATTATCATATCTTGCTGATAATTCTTCTAAGTCATCAAATTCGACCAAAAGCATGTGACTTCGATGACTAAGGGCCAATAGTGACACAACCCAAAGAAATTTGAGGTTAATTCGTCCGCATTCTTGCGGTAATCTCGTTTATATTTAATCGAAAGTTGTGTTAAAGGGAGTAAAGGGTGATAGGGCTAAAAGTTTCGCGTAACGGCGCGACTGGAAACAGTAAAACCGTGAACGAGAGTGTGGGCTCCTCTCGGCAGTGCGGCGCCAACAGATAAATTTACCCTCTCTGTTCTCTCCTCGCACCCCTCCATGAATACTCTACCAAGTCTCGTTCTTCCTCTTTTCTAGCTGTTCCTTTATTCCCCTCCCGTTTCGTTCCCTCTTTCGCGGTGGGATTCTGTCCTTATCGAGTTACAGCTGATCCTCGTTCCATCGCTCGTTTGTCTCTTGGCTCGGTCGCGCGACCGTCTCTCCCTCTTCCTCCTCGTGCATTAGCCAAGGAAATATCTCTGAACTCTCCTTTCACATACCTTAGGCGGCAGTTGAAGGCCTTCGCGCGTTTACTCTTTGTGAACCGACGCCGACCGCCGCACGCCTTGGCGGGAAAAGCGCGACGTTACTCTTTTGAACTTCCCGCCAAACGAGACTCGACGAAACTGCGAAATTTGAATTCCATTAATTCGGAAGGAAAATGTATAACTTCTAATGTCCTCATAATAAATATAATCATAAGGTATTGATACTTAACAGGAAAAAATGAACTGTTTATTGCAATTTACAGCTGTACTTGAATTCGAAAATGGCACTGTAAGAACTGTACACTTGTACAAACTATATCCGTCTGTATTTAGGATTTTGAACTTTATATTTGTATTACGAAATTTTTGTTGAAGAAAATTATGAAGTCTGAAATGTCTGAAGAATTATGAAATGTCTATTGAATTTTCAAAATTTTATAATAAACAATGCTACAGAAACAAATGTACATTATTGCTGTAAGTTCTCAAAACTTTCAATGTATTCTACACATAATGTGTTATTATTACAAAATAGTGCTAGATTATGTGAATTATTTATCATGAAAATGTATTATATTGAATTCTCAAAATTTTCAGCGTAACGATACAAACTCGCTATTCAAACGATAGAATAACAAGGTTATAGAAATCAGCATTGAAGTAAGAGAACAAGCACAGTTTATAATTTCGTTAACTGCACTCGAAGCTTAAAACAGATGGCGCCACAATAATTATTGTCCACAATATTTCATTCAATTGGCAAATTTTCAAAACAACTCAACGTTTATCAGCGCGTGCATCGTGTATTACCGACGTCTGCAATTTGATATCTGTTGGTCATTGAAACGCTTCATACAGGAGTTAGTGAAAAGCGATTGATAACTTATATTCGAACATCAGCTAATTAATACTGTCGTCCGCACGATAAAACGTGTATTTTATTTGATCGCGTAACCGTAGCACCTCGACGTATACGTACGCTTTGTGTAATTTAGCGGGAACCGAGCTTTATGGTCGACGAATGCTTTGTTTGGATTTATTAAATCGAGAACATAACGAAATAGTCAACGAATAGTTTATTACCGCTACGGGAGTTTCGTTAATAATTTCAACAATATTGTTCACTGAATTTCTGTTCGTGCTTTATTCTCGCAACTATATCGATTTTGATTATATGAACGTGTTCATTGACACGATTTCAATTTTATCTACTTTCGTATATTATACGCATGCTCTTTTTATATTAAAAATATTTAACTTTATTTTAGATCATAATTGCAAGGCGCTGCGATTATAATTTTAATTTAGATTGCAGTTGCATGAACGTTCCGCCATTTCAGGCTGCGCCGCCATTTTGTTTTCGTCGCCGCGTCCTCAAGTTCTGAATTAAAGACGAAAGTTAATTCTCGTTTATTCAAAATAAATGTAGCATACCTAGTGTATCAGAACAACTCAATTTTTCGACGGTGAATACGCACAGTTTATTTCAATTATTATATAACCCACGTATTATAATTTAGTCTGCGTGTGACATCAATATTACAATCAAAGCCGAAATATTTGATCCCGCAACGAAAGTCTTTGCAAAATATAAGTAAAGTCCGTAATGACAACAAGTATGTCCCGTAGTGACAAGTTATAAGTGAAGCCTCGTAACAACAAATATAAAGAATGAAACGCGTAGCAACAAATATAAGAGAATGAATCGAAGTGAAGTGCGGGCCCGGTGCCCTCGCTTATTTTATACGTTTCACTCCCCTACGACGTCTCCTAGCAACCACCCGATTTCTTCGAAATCTGCCACGTGCCCTCCGTCGACCTTGGCTTCGCGGTCATCCCTCTACGACCGATCCTTGCGATGCCGCCCGCCCTTTGCGGCCGAGCCGCCGCGCCGCCACGCCGCGCGCCGATACCGATGTCGCGCCGGCACTTGCCGGTACCCGCCGTCAAACGGAGCGGTCCGCGCCTTTGTACTCGTTTCTCGAAAATTACGCATCAGGAGACGTCGCCGAGGAGTGTCTTTCTTTTCTGCCGAAGTACGCACCTGGGTTCGCCGGCATTTCGCGGTGGATCAAATACTTATTAATTGGCATTTTTCTCGGAATTTCAGAGCATGTGCCACGTGCCACTTTTGCCACGTGCCATTGCCACGTGCACCACGCACGTGTACATTTCTTAGAAAAATTAATTATCTATCGTCTTCGAGTGCGACCGATCCCGCAGACAGCTAGCCGGAGCGCAGGGCAAGCAAGCTCGCCCTCGCCCGGGTTCTCACCTCTCCCGAGCGGAGTGGCCCTCGGTGTTTTGGTGAGCACCACCACTCCCGGGCGGATTGGTTACCCCCGGTGCTACGATGGTGTTTTTCATGCCGAGACACTCATGGTGTTCGACGAATACGGCCACAGGTTTCCCCGTGCACGTAGGGCTTCGAGGCATGGAAACTCGCCATGCCTGCTGCTTTTGACCAGTCGTCCCCGAAAACCCCGCTAAATTCATTAAATCTTATGTTTATCTTTAAATTCTCATCCCATGCTCTGAAATGCCTCAATTGGCCAGTTCTATCCGTAACACCTAGTTTATATAATTATCATAATCTTAAATGTATCTTTACATTCTCAGAGTTCTATTTCTATATCTTAATTAAAAATTAACATTTGGAATTGTACGACTATTCTGATAGAGGTTAACAATATGCTCACAAGATACAATAGTACATAAATATTAGTAAAGTCTTGTACGACAGGAATGTTTATTATATTCTGCTACTATTTACTACGTTAATCGTGTTATGTGAAACTATATTGTACCAGAAAAAGTGGAAAAAGCGTTTTCTAATTCCCACGAGGCAACCTCCTCCACATTGAAAAGAAATCGAGCAGAACTGGACTGGGCGAACAATATTTAATTGCATATCATATTTCTCGCGATATTCCATTATCAGATTAGATGTTCTCATCATGCGTTTAAATGATGGCGTTGCGTAGATCTTCTTACCTTTTCTTACGCAATCGCGTGAATTTATAATGCTCGTTTTGTTTTCCGTACATAAACAGATGCGGTTGATTGTGGCGGAAATGACAAACAAAGTCACGTTTTAATTTACATGAAACTACTTTAGATATACTTTAAATATAATAGTAATTTCATTTGTTAATTGTGTGTCTTTTGGAGGTTATAGGAACGAGAAAACATGGCGGCCGGGAGAGAAGATTTGGCGGCAAATTCAAATCGTCAAATGAATTTTTGTAATATTTATTGTATTTTCTTTACTGGTTTGTTATTTTTAAATGTATTTTAACGTGTATGTAACATGAATGTACATATGTAACACATGAGAAACAAGTGACTTATGCTTTAATTACAAATTTGTTTTATTTTAAATTACGACATAGTAAACATTTCAAAAGAATATTAAACATAGTAAAAATTTGTCATTCAATATACTTAACATTTTATTAAATAAGATTTGAAAGTAATTAGAATTAGATGTAATACTAAAATAAGAACAATAGAGAATGAAAATGTAACGAGTACCAGCAGCACTATTTTGAGATAGTTTAACTGCTAGTCTGTTCGACCTCAAATGATACCAATTTTTCTGCGCACGTAAACGATACCAACATTTCTGCGACCGCAAATAGAAGAACCGCAAGTGGAGCAACGCGATCCTACATACACAAGTACAATCGTACACAATGACGATAGTGTTTCAATCTCACCGTTTGAAAACATCAACTATCTGTCTGTGGCGAACACCATGAAATATGAAGGAGACAGAGATTCGATCGTTTGTTAAAAGTTAAAACTGACGAATGAAAATGGGTCGTTCATCGATTTCACCCGAAATATCTTTAACGACGATTCATCATTCATTTCATGATTTCTTCAATTATGGAAAATAATTTCGTTCTCTCGCAACTATTATTAACAAGTGTATAAATATTTTGCGAGTAAATATTTATTTAATGAAAAATATCATATTGTAAATAATTCACCTTTTGAAAAAGCAAAAAGAATTGCAAAAATAGACAAATAAATAAAAATAACAAGAATTGGTAGATAAATAAAAATTACAAAAATTGGTAACCAAAAAAAAAAATTATAAAAATGAATAAATAAATCATAATTATAAAAATAAGTAAATAAATAAAAATTACAAAAATTTATAAACAAATAAAAATTGCAAAAATAGACAAACAAATAAAAATTACAAAAATGGGCAAACAAATAAAAATTACAAAAATTAATAATTTAATAACAATTACAAAAACTGGTAAATAAATAAAAATTACAAAAATATACAAATAAATAAAAATTACAAAAATTAATAAACAAATAACAATTACAAAAATTGGTGAATAAATAAAAATTGCAAAAATAGACAAACAAATAAAAATTACAAAAATTAGTAAACAAATAACAATTACAAAAAGTGATAAATAAATAAAAATTGCAAAAATGGATAAACAAATAAAAATTACAAACAGTTATAAATGAACATAAATTACAAAAATATACTATAAGTGAATAAAAGTTACAAAAATAAATAAATAAATAAAAATTACAAAAAATTGTAAATGAATATAAATTACAAAAATAGATAAGTAAATAAAAGTTACAAAAATAAATAAATAAAATAAAAATAAATATGTATATGAATAATATATATATTATTGAGAAAATAATAATAAATTTATTACTGAAAACTGATTTCTCTAAAACATTAAATTTTTCTGAATTCTCCCAACCATTTGATACACAGCCGAATAAACAACAGTCCAATTATTCCGTATCTACGACACACAACTATGGATGAATTAATTAATTATATCATATTTCATAATAATAATTTATCGACGATAATACCAGCATATTGTGTGCATCCAACAAAAGCCAAACAAGGTAACGCTAAACCCTATCGAATCGAACATTTATTGTAACAGGACCGACTAACGTATCATTAAATGAGCAATAAAATAGCCTTTCAAAATCTCGGCTAATTGAAAAGTAACAGAATGTTGTTGAAATCTCATGCACGTTGAAATTGTTCGATCTTCCCAAGCGTTCCTCAGCATCATACATGTATGTTTCGAACGGCCATAATTAACGCGCGAAATATCGCGGCGATCTAACAAGAGCGATGTGTTTGCTTTCTTTCTTTCAAGCTACGGTGAAATCGGAATTATTTTCACTTACTCTTGCAATTTTTATTACTGTTGCAAGGAGTGCTGTTTTTGATTATTTCAACGAAAGTTAATGATAAAATTTGAGGTTATGATTATGAGGCTACATTTAAGGTTATGATAATTATATAAAATAGGTATAAATATAACATAGTATGTAAAATAAATATAACATAGTATATAAAATAAATATAAATATAACATACTATGTTATATTTATTTTGAATAAATGAGGATTAATCTTCGTCTTTAATTCAGAACTTGAGGACGCGACGACAAAAACAAAATGGCGACGCATCCTCTGAAATGGCGGAACGTTGCACTTCATTTTGATGCATTTGCGTGGATAATTTTTGAAATTTTTGATTTCCTTGTATAATAAATATAATATACGAGGAGAAATACACGTCTTACTATACTAACATGTGGAGCAGATAAGAGTACAAATTACAATTTAAATTTCAAAGACTGCAAATTTCTAAAATTTGAAGCTTCCAAAATTTCAAGATTTCAACATTCTAACATTAAAAATTCGTTAATTCCAGATTTCCATTATTGAAAATTTGCAAATTTTCAAAATTCCTGCTCTCAAAGTCCACAACTTCAAACTTGTAAAACTTTCCAAAGGTCTATCCAAGAATTTAAAAATCATAAAATTCCAAAATTGCTTATAATCCACCTAACAGTGCAGACTTAAAATTTAAAAATACTCCAAAGGTCTATCAAAAAATCTGGAAGTCCCGAAATTCACACTTCTCCAAAGTCTATGCAGAAATCCAAAAGTCTTAAAGTTTACGTCTTCCCAAAGTGTATGTAAAAAAGGCCTAGAATTCTAAAATTTGCCAAAATTTATCTAAAAATCCATAAATCCTAAAATTCGAAAACTCCTTATAATCTACCTACAGATCCAAAAGTCCCAAAATTCGAAAACTCCTCAAAACTTATCTGATTGTCCAAAAGTCCACATCTACCGAAAGTTAAAACTGCAGAAGTCCCAAAATTCACATCTCCCCAAAATCTACATAAAACCTCAAAAGTCCCAAAATTCATATCTCTCCAAAATCTACATAAAACTGCAAAATTCCCAAAATTCACACCTCCCCAAAATCTACATAAAACTGCAAAAGTCCCAAAATTCACATCTCCCCAAAATCTACATAAAACCTCAAAAGTCCCAAAATTCACACCTCTCCAAAATCTACATAAAACCTCAAAAGTCCCAAAATTCACATCTTCCCAAAATCTCCATAAAACTGCAAAAGTCCCAAAATTCGCACCTCCCCAAAATCTACATAAAACTACAAAAGTCCCAAAATAATACGAAAATTTCAAAAGAGACATGCCTCAAAAGTCTTTAAGCTAAATATCTCAATAGACAATAAACGTTAGTCGATAGATACAGCTAAACTGCGCGACGCAAAACTCTCGCATGAGCCGAGTAAAGGTAGACGAGGAGAAGTAGAACCTGTGCAGGGAGAAACAGAAAAAGGAATCTACGCCTCGACAAAGGTGATCCACGAAGGCGTAGCAGACTCGAGGAACAGAATTTCTGCTGTGTGGGCGTCGGATCTGCGTCACCAAGCTTGAATCAGTGTCGCAACGTTAGCTCGTTACTTCAGAAGACGGATAAACGGGAACGTTATATCCAATCAGGATCGGTAAGGAGCAGGCGAGCGTGTAAAAAGGACGAGAAAACTCGAAAATATCTGTTCGATGCTTGCCTTTTTATCTCGCGCAAAAAAGATGCCTTACGATTTCTGCAGTCGAGGAAAGTTACCGGAAGGACATCAAAATATGATGGGATTTGTTAATCTAATCTATTTTTCTTTTTTTAGGAAAAGTAAGTGTTTTCTTTTGGGAAGCTATGTTGTTGTTTACGCTAGGTTAGGTTTATTTTGTTTAGGTTAGGTTCGGTATTTAGGTTAGTTTATGTTAATTTAGGTTAATTTAGGTTAGGTATTTTGTAAAGTCGGATGTGTACAGAAAATAAAATTGGTTTATTGACCTTGAAAACATAGACTGTTTTTTAATAAATTGTAAGGGACATTTTAGGAATTTAACAAATTTTTAATATTATTTTAATTTTCTTAAATTTTCTTAAATTTTTTTAAATTTGAAATTGCTCAAAATTGCATACTGTATCTAACTTCTTTTTAAGTAACATTTTAATTAGCAACAATTCTATACAATAATAGAATACAAATAATTTTTGCAATTATATGTAGACAATATTTTATTAATAAGAGCATTGAGAAGGAATAAGTTATTCATAAATTAAGTAGAAAACCAGCCATTTGCTTCTTTTGACGCCATTTAATTTTCTTGAATGAAATTCTATCATTTTAGGCAATAATTTAAAAAATAATAATGCGTATAATATTTGTTATCTATATTTTTTCTTCCCTCAAAATTGTTACTATTAACAAGCGCTGACAATTATCAATAAATTATCATTTAAAAATGCAAAATGTTTGATACTTAATCTACCCATTACTATATTTAAAATAACTGATGACATTTTTATGTGATCACATTTGTGTCACATTTATGTCATCACATGTGACATTTATGTGAACTATTAAAATACCATTACGATATAAATAAAATTTATGTTACAATCTTTGTCTATTATAGATAACATTTTTATGTCAGAAACTTATGTTGTAAACACAATTTGTTTATGTTATATTTTTCATGTCATACACACAGTTTTTTTACATTATATTTTTTATGTTATACGCACAGTTTTTTTACGTTATATTTTTTGTTATAGATAGAAGAGATTGTGATCTTTTTTTTAGGTATCATTCATCGATAACTTTTCAACGTTGAAGATTGTTTCAATTACAACCATAAAAATAGAGAATTGGAAAGTATAACAGTACGAAATATCTGAATTATTTAAATCGAACATCGACAGATATTCGACCGTGTCAAATTTCCATCAACTTTTAACGAACCCCTGTGAATCTTTCGGAGAGTTCAATTTGGAAGCCCGCGGCTCAAAAACAATAGCCGAAACCGAATTGAAAAAAAAGAAACGGCAAACTGGAGTATAACTAGTCA